CCCTCTTTACAATCATGTTTTAGGGGGTATGTATAAAATAAAAAGAAGAAAAACAGATGATAGTACAATACTGTATAGTGTAAGAAAAGGCTATTTAACTGTGATTTGTGAGTGAAAATAAACTCACATTTTTAAGAGCCTTTTCACAGATTTAAAGCTCTAAACTTCAGCATTTCTGTAAGGAAGTCAACTGTAACCCTTTTTTAGGTTTAGATTTTCTGTTCCTCTCCACGATGTATATAAAGGAGACAAGGATAGAAGAAAAAAACTCTAGATGTAGTACACAGAGTTATAGGTTGAATTAAATCCACATACATTAATGAATGGGTGCTCACCTTATTAAGAGCCTTTTGATAACTGTCTATAAGTATGCTGGCTTTGTGTCAGTCTATGGGGTGACACCTCCCTTACAGGAATCAAGGGCAGGATGCAGATAGAGGTTCATGATAAATTTATTAAAGATATATTAAAAAAACTCTATATTAAAAATTCCATATAAAAACAAAAAACAATATAAGTAATAGATAAATTAGTAAATACAGTGATCCTCTTATCGCCAAATTTATCATCAACCTCTATCTGCATCCTGCACTTGATTATACATACCCCCTAAAACAAGATTTTAAAGAGGGGTAAGTGTTTTTATTTACCTACCTGTTGGTTGATATACCTCATGCACTGATATAGCGCTGTACTCAAGCTGGGAGCTTGGAAGGTGGAAACACCAACCAGACCCCATGTTTTCTGTTTCTTTCGTGATTATATATTGTGCAATAGACTGACGGCGTGTATATACATTTTTGAGGTATATACAGTATATATTGATATTGCGCTGGGAGAGGAATATGTAGACCCTCTGCCACAATCCTGCAGGTTACAATCTGAGGCTGGGTAACTATCTAAGTTGGGAACACACAAGGGGTCAATTTATGTTTCAGGAAGAAAACAAGGGGGTAAGGGGTGGCACAAAATAGGTAAGGAAGTGAGAGAGAAACACGCACATTGGTAATTGTGTTTAAGAGAAACGCATAAGGGCAGCGAGGCACTAAAAGGACGATTGGGGTACAGAGTAACACAGGCATAGAAGCATCTTTTTATTTATTGTATAATTCTAAAATGGAGATCTTTGCCAAGAGAATACTTTAGGTACTCTTCTGTATAAGAATGTAATACTTTAAAAATATATTAATAATAAATAATGTAACATTTTATGTAACACATTTTTTTCTTTGACTACATTCTGATATCTATAAGCCTTTCCTAGATCTTCTGGAAGATGTTTTTTTTTACATGGGGTCGGTAGGAATACAGGAAGTGATATCCTTCTTCCATGATCTTGGCTTATTACTCTAGCTAGACCTATTGTATTAAGACTCTGTTCTGTTTGTGACCCTAGTTATTGTGATCCCATTTTTTTCTCAAACACGGTCAGGGTTATTCACCAACTCCACAATTTTGCAAATTATAGTTTAATCACTTTTCTTGTTGGGCTTCGATAATGAATGACAGGCGTGAGGGTCAAAAATACAACAGTAGGAGCAAGCTAAACTCCACTTAGTGATAACCACTTGCACATCAAGAAAATAAACAAAATTAAGTAAACAAGCATTAATAAAGCAACAATACAAATCCAACCAAAACAAAGTATGCTTTCTTTCAAACTTCGTGCTCAGAATGTGCATAATAAGCAAGAAATATGGAGGGGTGAATGAGGGGTGCAGCTTAGAGGAGTTTCTCATTGTGTGAATTGTAAGCTCACGGCAGGGCCCTCTACCTCTTGCTGCGCTGCAGAATATGTTTGGCGCTTTATAAATACCAGTAATAAGAATAAGGGGTCGACCTACTAGCACTCTAGTAAGGACAATTTTGCAAATTAAATCAGAATAGAAAAACTGAGGCAAAATAAGCTAACCTGGAAAAATTTGTAAGCTATAGTCACAATTTGGCTAGTTCTGCCACAGATTTGGCATTTGGATTAAATTTGCAAGGAGGCGTAGTTTAGTGAATAACCAAACATATTGCATACGTTATCTAGTGTTGAGTACCACAGGGTTCTTGACCAGAAATCTTTAGGAGTATACTCATTTTTCTTGATAGAGAGAGCATAATGGTCCCGTTTTGCAACTCTAATGTGTATTTTACGTTTTTCTATAACTTTTTCCCCATAACTGTGCATTGAATACACAAAGATACATGGCGAATTCAATGCAAAATATAAAGATTTATTCACTTTTCCTAGGTTCCTACTCTTCGGTAACACCCTCCTCCGGACCAACCCCTGCTCCACCTCTGTTACTCTTTGGTTTGTCCTACTTGGGATGCATCCCCAAACAGGACAAATCTCATCAGCATCCTAGCTTTGTTCTCAGCGTGCTGGCATCAGAACGCAGTGATGTCTCATCACTTAGTTCCTATAGTCCCTAGCCAGCGCTTCTAGTTTCCATAGCAACCACAGCTCATACACTGTGGTTGCTATAGGATGAGAGCCGATGGACCTCCTGTGAGAGATCATTTCTGCTCTCCCTTTTCAGCCAATGGCCACACCCACACACACAATCACCCTGTCACACTCATCCCCCACACACAGTCACCCATCACACTCCCCCTCATACACAGTAACCCTCAAAAAGAGCCGGTGCAAGGATTTTTGGCTACACAGGTGAAGATACATTTTGCCGCCCCCTGTTCCCCCCCCAAAAATGCATCGTCACCTGTGTGTCCCATAATCCGCCTCTTGAAGTTGTTAACCCCTTTTGCGTATTTCTTTCTCCCCTTTCCCATCCCCTCTATGTCTCTTTATCTCCCTAGCCCTTTCTGTGTTACTTCCCCAAACAACTTATCTCTTTCTCCCCACAGCTCCTCTGTGTCTCTTTGCCCCCAGCCCCTCTGGGTGTGTGTCCCCAGATGTGTCTCATTCCACAAGCTCCCTCATGTGTCTTATTCCCCCCGCCTTCCAAGTGTGTCCTTTTCTTTATTCCTCTCGCTCCAATGTCTCATTCCCCAAGCTCTCCTCAATGTGTCTCATTCCCCCAGCTCCCCTCAATGTTTCTCATTCCCGCAGCCCCTTCCCGCTCTGTGCATCTTACCTTCTTTCCCATTCCCCCATGGTGTCTCCTCACCTACCTCCTGTGTAGCATGGCCAAGCATGGAACAGGGTAGAGGAGCTTCAGGGACCTCTACGCGGTCTGGCAGGAATCAATTCGGCGCTCCCTGCATGCACTTCCTGTCAGACCGGGATAGAGGTTACAGAAGCTCCTCTACCCTTGTCTGTGCTTGGCCACAGTACATTGGGGTGACCGGCAGGAGTGGAGTGCTGTGCAGGGGCCTCCTTTCCTGCCGGTCAGCCTATGTCGGCTTTTGATAGCACCAGCCCTGCCCACATACACAGCCCCATTACAGAGAGTGATCTAATCTATAGATTTGCTATCAAAACTGCTAGCACATATAGATAAAAATCTTATGCTCAATCTAATGAGCATAAATTTTGTAGTGCTCTTTAAGTCAATCTCTGATATAACCTTCCAGTTCATTTTGACACCCAGTTGCCTCTGCATCCCACCATGTCACCCTCACGCACATACAATAACCCTCATACACAGGCACGCCACCACAGATATAGATGTATATTTCAGACAAAGTTACAGCTACAAACACACATATGTATACACTCACAGATGCACAAGGATACTCACTGGCAAATCTCAGGCACATACACAGAAATACAATTCTAGACGTACACAGAGTTACCAATACAGACTGCAAGATATACACTGCATGGTCTCTCCTCCCCTGTCCCTTAGTGGTCTCTCCTCTCCCCCATCCCATTAGTGGTCTCTCCTCTTCTCCCCCCCTTTCCATTAATGGTTTCTCCTCACCAGCCCCCTCCCCCCCCTATAGTGGTCTCTCCTCAACAACACTACCTCCCTTAGTGGTCTCTCTCTCCACCTCCCTTGTCTTTCTCTCTGCTATTCCTCCCTTCATGTTCTCTCTCCCCCTTCCTCCCTCCATGGTCTCTCTCCCCCTGTATCTCTTCCTTCCCCTCCTCTCTTGTATCTCTTGTATCTTTCTCCCCTCCCTCTCTTGTGCCTCTCCTCCCTTCTTGTACCTCCCCCTCCCTCTCTTATATCTCTTTTCCCCTTGTATTTCTCTCCCCCCCCCTTGTATATTGCTCTGCCACCCCACCCACCCCCACATCTAGTGTAGCGTGGCCGAGCTCTGGTCAGGTCCGCGGTACAGGAGCTTCTGTTTCCTGTACCCGGCCGGACTGACAGGAAGTGCTCACTCGGTGCTCCTGTACCGTGGACCGGACAGAGCTCGGTCACGCCTCACTGAGGGACTGACAAGAGGGAGCGCTTTGCACTTTCTCCTGCCGATCCCTCTTTTCTTGTGTGCCCGGGCAGGTGCGCCCTAATGGACGCGCCGATCCAGGCACAGCTGCAGCTGCCTGAGGCTATTTATAGAGCGCTTAGGCGGCTGCAGCATGAGGGGCCGGCGATCCTGGCTGTACCCCTTCCTAAGGTGCGCCCTAGGTGATTGCCTAAGTCGCCTATAGGAAGCGCCGGCCCTGGGTGGGGTGGGGTGTTTTAACAGTTTAATTGATATGCATTCCTGAAGAAGTAAATTTTCAATGATTTTTAACTAGTGCCCTCGAATTATAAATCAGCTAATGCGTAGATTATAAATTATAAATTCATACAGTCTCAAGCCAAGATGGCTGCCGTGGATGTGTGTAGGTGCATGTACACCTCCCAAATATTTAGTGCTGCATCTTACAATGCTTATGATATGGATGACTTTAGGGAGAAAATATAACCTATAGATTCTGCAAACAATTTACCAGTAACAATGATCACAATAGTTTTTGTGTATGTGGTTTTTTTTTTTGTTTGTTTGTTTTTTATATTTTGTCACATTATTAGTATTATTTGCAGCAAACGAACTTTAACTGTTTCCATGCTGAGTTGTTCACAGTGAGAACACAAAATAGTGGTACCCATTATAAAGACACAGCTGAGCGAGTGTTTCCTTCTAGACTGCTCCTTTTACAAACCAGAACACAAGAGGAGGAGTCTGGCAGATGGGAATGACAGAGACCAGCTGTATGTTTCCTTTTCTCTTACACTGCCGGCCAAATTGCCCTCCATCCCCCTCCTAACACCCACAGCCCCTCTCTCAGCATCCTAACGCCTCCACAATGCTGGACATTTTCATTTTGATGTTTTTTGCTATTATCGGTCTGGTTTTGCTTTCCTACATCATCTACATCTTATAAGAGGCTACGATGGGCCTAGGAATCGCTTATCACTTGCTTGCAGGTGAGTATCTGGTTTTCATTTACTTATAAACAAACAGCTCAGAATTCACCTCTGCATCCTAATACATACACAAAAAGCACAGAGCTTCGTATTCGTTATAATGTATTTGTATAATGTAGCTATAACTACTTGCTGTGAGAATACCATGAAATCTAGACTCCTTCCTTCATCCTCCTGTAAAACTCAGTATACCAATTAGAGTATTTTTATTATGACATCCCACGCATCAGGTCTTTTTCTTTTGTTCCATACTTTTAAAATCACATCCTGTTTTAGTTGCATGCACTGTTCAATTAACTTATAAAAAGCACATTAATACATTTGAAAAAAAAAGAAAAAAAAAGAAAACCGCTATATGTTGTTTATATTTGTTTATTTTTAATGCCCAGAAAGAATTTTAGATCTATCGGTTTATCCAAAACCAAATCAGTCAAAATCCAAATAGATTGAAATATTGCAGTATTTAGTCTAACTTTTACTAGAGTTAAATTAAAGTTGTCATTCACAACACGAGTGAATGTCAATTCGCCAGCTGGTTAGTATATCTCAAATCTATCAGGGTTATTCACTAATCTATGAAATTATACATACTAAATCTGAATGGCAAAATGGAGTTGTGAGTAATGTGGAGTTGGATCATTTTTCCAGATCAGCTATTTTTGCCTCGTTTTTTCTATGCATAGCAAAAATGGGGAACATGCTTTTCTCAGAAGTGGTACCACCATAGACACCAAAAAGTACTTAAAATACAAATGAAATACGTAGTGGTTGGCTTAAAACAGTATGGCCATATGCAGTGGTGTATCCTGGTTTTGTGCTGCCCTACCCGCCCCCTCCCCACACCCCCCCCTCCCCTGCGCGCGCGACCCCCACCCATCCCTTCCCCCCGCCCCGCCTTCTAAATACACACACATACTGACAGATACGCATACACTAGCTAACAGAAACACAAACTCACTGACACACACAGACAAACACTAGCAGACACACACACACTCACTGACACACACACTCATTGGCAAACATACACACACAGTCAGACACACACAAACACACTCACTCACTAGCAGACACACACACTCACTGACACACACACTCACAGGCAAACACACTCACACTAACAGTCAGACACATACACTCACTAACAGACACACTCACTAACAGAGACAAACACACTAACAGACATACACACTAACAGACACACACACTCACTAATAGACACACACACACTCACTCACATTAACACATGTATTTTTTTTAATCCCTCCAGCCTCCTTACCTTTGGGAATGCTGGGGGTGGGGGTTCTCTCTCTACCTGGGGTCCAGTGGCTGCTGGGCTGGGCGGGCGGCTGGCGAGGGAGCACTTCCTCTGAGCGGACTGCTCAGCTCCCTCGCACGCTGCACAGTGAGGCTGGGAGCCGGAAGATGGCGTCATATTCCTGCTCCCAGCCTCACTCTGCGGCGCGCGAGGGAGCTGAGCAGACCGCTCAGATGAAGTGCTCCCTCGCCAACCGCCCACCCGACCATCAGCCAGCGCCGCCCGCTAGCCCAGCATGTCAGTTAGCCGCAAGGCTAACTAGGCATTTGCCCTGGGCATTTGGGGGGCGGCTTTTTTTGCCGCCCCCTGAAAAATGCCGCCCAAAATGCCGCAAATGCCTTGTTTGCCTCGCGGCTAAAACTCCCCTGGCCATATGGTTGAACTGAATCCCCATGTTTGTTTGCTAAGATAGGTCATTTTAAGTAGCTGTGTAACACATTAAACTGTATTTTTATGTTTTTTGTTCCTTAATCTGTATTTTGTATCAGTTTTTCCAGTTATGAAAATTTGCAGTTTGAAGTGCACACTGAAGCTAGGAATTCTGGGATGCCATATGCATAATTATTGGGCAGGTGGCCTTCCTGGATGGAAAATGTAAAGTAGAGGTAATGTTTAGCTAAGGATATTTTTCCTATTCATTTGCTATCCAGAAGTGTAACTCCCACCAAAACCATGGGTTTGGTGGAACAAGATGTTTTTCCTCAAATGTTTCTGACACATACATAGCCGTGTCTGTTTTGTACAACACACTTTCCATGCATTTTATATAGGTTAACGTAACTATAATGTTAGTTCTTGTATCACAACCAATGTTCTTACTTAGTTTAGTAAATTCTTGCACCAAGGCAGGGCTCTTAAACTGCTATAGATTGAAAACCAGAAGAAAAAGTTCCTTATTCCTGGCTATAGATTAAAAATCGGAAGAAAACGTTCCTTAATCCTGGCTATAGATTAAAAATCGGAAGAAAACGTTCCTTAATCCTGGCTATGGAAGCATTAATGCTGAGAAATACACAGAAGTAATAACAGAAGTATTGAAAAGAAAAAAAATTAAGGGCATCCCAGAGCAGACACATTTTAAAGGGACACTCCAGATGCCTATAGAGTGTTTCCTTTTTTCATTTTACAAAAAGTTTTTTCTAAATTACCTTGTGACACCCTTCAGCTGTCAATTAGACAACTGGTCAGTTACTTCCTGGTAATTAAGCTCAGTGGAGCTAAACTCAAGAGGCAGGTAATTACCCAGAGCAGCTGCCTTGCAAAGACTTCTAATTGTGCTGCATTGGGAACTCTGTGATTGGACAGTCATCTCCTAATTCCAGAATCCCTTTCAGGTTCATATCTTTAGGACATGGATACATTTATTATAACCACACTGGTGTTTTCCAGTCACCAGACATGATTAGATAGTTCTTGGAAATGTTTTTGTTTATTATCTCATAACAAGAGGCCTATTGGCCTGGGAATAAATCTATTCTAGCATCTGGTAAAATTACATTTTGGTAAATTACATTGAATACTAAATCTCTACTTCCCTGTGGCAACTGTGTATCTGCAACAGCAATTCTGATTTCTGTCTATACTGTATACAAACTGTCTTGCACAAAAGGACATCAACATTTTGGTGCCTGGTACTCTGTTCGAGAAAATCATGAATGTGTCTAGGGAACAACACGCTAGGGAAGAATATTTTGTAATAAAATGAAAACAATGATGTGAAATAGTGTTGCTTGAAGTCCCAAGAGTGCTTATCTCTAGATATATAATGTTTACATATATATTTCAACAGGATCATGTTCTCTTTAAATCTGGTATAGACACAACATCCTTTTATACACACACTGCACCACCTACACACACAATCCTGCACCCTATACACACTCTGGATCCTGTAAGCACACTAAATCACCTATAGACACACACAGTACCACCGATACACACACTACATCCCTAAACACGCTCTGGATCCCTTATGCACATACTAGGTCCCCTATACACAAACACACTACATTCTCTAAGCACATACTCTCTACAGTCTCTACACACACTACATCACCATTACACACATACACTAAAGCCCATATGCACAAACTCACTGCATCCCGCAAGCAGGCTGTGTGGAGCGTTGCCGAATGTAACCACAGCAATTCTTTAACACCAAGAGGAGAAGAGTGAAGTCAGCCTGCAACCAGCAGAAAGGAGGGGAGGACATAAAACTTTTTTTTTCTCTTTTTTTTTTAATAATAAAAAAATATATACACTTTGCTCCCTTATCACACACCCACACACAGTATAGACCCTATGAATACACTGCACCCCCTCATACACACCACACTGCACCCCCCTCACACACACCACACTGCACCAATGCACACACAAAACCTTGATGCTTAATGCGTACATCCATACACACATGCTGCCTAATACCTACATCCATACACACATACTGCCTAATACCTACATTCAAGCACACACACACACACACACACACACACACTACCTAATACATGCATCCATACACACATACTGCCCAATACCTTCATCCACACACACACACACACACACACACACTGCCTAATACCTACATTCATACACACACACTGCCTAATACATGCATCCATACACACATAATGTCTAATACATGCATACATACACACATACTACCCAATACCTACATCCATAAACAGAAACTGCCTCATACATCCATACACACACACTGCCTAAGACATGCATCCATACACACATACTGCCTAATACCTACATCCATACACACGTACTGCCTAATACATACATTTTACATTGAATACATAATTTATTGATGTGATAAATTATGTATTTAATGCATTTGGTGAATTTAATTTATAATAAGACTAGAAAAAACAAGCCCGCACAGACAAGCACACACACTGACAAACACACAGACAGACACATACACATACTGACATACATACTCACTCACTGACAGACAGACACACACTCACTGTCAGACACATACTCAGTCACTGACAAACACAAACACTCACAGACACACACTGACTGACAGACACACACATACACAAACTTCCTGACAGACGTCATATTCCGGCTCCCGGCATCACAGAGGGCGTGCGAGGGAGGAGTGAGAAGTTGGAAGATTAGCGTCCCTTGCCTCCCACACTGCCGCCGACGCTTGCCTGCCTTGTCGCCTGGCATCTATCGGCAGAGTAGGCACCTACCATCCAGGTAAGCAGGTATCTGCTCTGCCATACCTAATAAGCACAGCTTCGGAGGTGCCCTAAAGTGGCCAGATGGCCACCTCCTGCCCCCCCCGTCACCGGGCCCCTTTCGGCACCCCCACCTTCAGGTGCATGGAGGATCGACCCGGAGCTGGGGGGGGGAATGGCTCAAGAGCTGCCCTTCCAGCGCTGCAGCCCAAGACAGGGGCAGCCCACCAGGAAACATCCTGGTGAGAGCCTCGTGCGGGCAGTTGCCCAACGGCAAGGAACATTTTTGTCATGTCTTGTTTTTGGCTAGCAAAAAATTAATGATGGTCCAGGCACTCAAGTTCAATCCAGTGGGCAGATTTATTGCAGTGGAATCAAAAACAAAGTTTCGGCCGAAATGCCCACTGGATTGAACTTGAGTGCCTGAACCATCATTATGTTTTTGCAAATCAGATTGTGAGGATTGGCCAACCTCAGGCCCTGTTGCACCCTGGGATCCAGAGTGTGGTATTCATATTGGTAATTATATAGTTTTTGGCTATGGCAGAAAGCGTGCAACACATTTTGCACAGCTCCAATGGGATATTACTGGTGTCCCCTGAGTGCATCCTCTCCTAGGAGAAGCTTTTTCTTTTACTGGAATGGTGATGCTGAGTGAACTTTTTTGTCCTTGAGTGGCAATGAGCCTGATAAGACTTGGCTGCGTCTTACCAGCAGCCATGTTATGTGGTGGATTCCAGTGGGGATGCCCAACAGCCTGTGACTCATTGTACCATGGAGACATTGTTACAAGCAAATGTGTCAGAGTTAGTGGAGTGCAGTATTTCTGAAGGTATATCTTCTGAAAGGCTGCAAATGAGGCATTCAAAGGGCTTAGCGGAAATGTCACGTACAAATACTGCTTCCACCTCTTTAACAGGTGCCATCTTGTGTTGATAAACGGTTCTTGAAAGTACTATTACAACAGCAGAACAAAATAGGTAACCAGGTAAACCACTTTCGATATCAAGAAGTAATTTGCTACTGAAATCGGGAAAAAGAAAATTCAGAAAAAAACAATACATTCTCTGAATTCTGGAGATTGTCATAAACCACTTCGTCCATTATGCTTGATGGATGTTATGTTACCCATTAATGAAAGCAACTTCCAGCAATACACAATTCACACTTATGTATAATATATAGTTGAATAAATAGACACACACACAGACCACCCACATTGAGAATCACCACGTGCATTGAGACACACACAACTATGCAAAGCTGTATCCATAGTTGCCATCTTGGCCAAGCCAAACTGTAAATTCAGCTTACTATTAGAATGCGGATAGCTGTCTGGTAATGTTACATGCTGCAATGAAAGTGAACTATTCAACAATGAATCCCATTCATACTCCCAAATAATTAGTGAACTTGTTTCCTCTGGTAGCATGTGAATTCTACATGTAGCCAGGCAGCACCATCTATGTACCTCTTGGCAGTATGTGTAACTCTGAGGTCAGATGTCTTGGAAAGGATAGCTGTACTGTGAACCTGTTCACGGGCATAAATATTGTTTCTTTATGGTAGGTCAACAAGACGCTCATATGTAAATAAATTACTCTTATGTACTGAAAGGCATCTCATGTTTTTTTTCACCTACCATGTTTGTGGACAGGACCACATTAATTGTGGTAAAGAATTGACCACACTGACCCCATATTGTTTTGTGTTTCACTCTATTATGGTGCCATTTTGCAGTGATGAGATGGGTTTCCGGCCTTCGTGTCTATTATGTGAGAGTCATGGTGGCCATCTTTGTTTTGTGTAAGATCACACAACATCTTATTTCTCACCTTTCTGTACACTGCCACACTAAGCCAGTAAAATTCTAGTCAGTCTCCTTCTGCTCTGGACATTTTCTTCTCTGCCTTTGACTGGCGGAACCCCATTTATTTTATATGGGGGCCTGCATGTGCTAGGTACACAATATTGCAGCTTCTGCCCACCTTGTTTGGCAGCTTGTTACCCACACTGCCGTTTGTCCTAGGTGAGCTCCTGGCCTGGTTAGTGAAGATGACCCACTCATGGTTATTGGCCTGCTGCTGCTCAGCCTCAGCCATCCCTAGTTGGTTATTCACTTGGGATTTGGGTGAGCCCCAACATTTCAAACTATTTTGCAGATAACCCCAATATTTCTTGCATTTCTCTGCCTTCTGCTTAAAATGAAAGTTTCAGATTTTGCACTGATTTCTATACTGCTATTGTTAGAATTTCATTTTACAAGCTACTGTCATGGTGTTACGTAAGTACCGTTATAAAACAATGACTTCAGTTAACTACTTAGTTAATAGTTCTTTCTTTTAAATCAGAGAACTCAACTGTAGAGATGTAATTTACCTTAGTGAACAGCAGGGGGAGTGTAGAGTAGGTTCTACAGTTTGCTGGAAGATGTCTTGCAGCCAGAGTAGATGTAAGGAGGTGTTTTAACCAACAATTGGAGAAGGGGAAGGCTGGTACTGCCCTGCATGAGGACATCCAGCATCGGATTTTCCCCCATAGGAAAGCATTGATCTTAAGTCTAGGATAGCCTTATGCCTATCCTATGGTAAGGTCTAATGTGCACACAGCACTTGCCGTGCATGCACATTAGTGCCCATATGTCGCAAGATGCTGGAGGGGGAGGAGTGTCAATCCAGTGGCGAGGGACATTAGCGCTGGGATAAGGTTAGTTTTAATAAAGGGGTTTTAACCATTTATTTACCTGGGTGGGGGGCGTGATGGAGGGGGGCAGTGGAGCGATAATGCCAGGAATACAGCTTTATATTCCAGGCACTATAGACAGGGCTGCCATAAGAAATAGTGGGGCCCCTGACAGCAGCTCAAGGTTTGGGTCTGTCCCCGATTTAGCCCACAGGGCCCACCCCCCAAGTCCACCCACAGGGCTCGCCACCTAGACTGTCTACAAGGATGACGTGTGTGTGTGTGTGTGTGTACTGAATGTGGGGTGTGTATAGTGGATGTTAAATGTGTGTAATGAATGCAGTGTGAATAGTCTATGCAGATTGTATGTTTGAGTAATGTTTGTAGTGTTTGTGTGTAAAGAAAGAGAGAGTGTGTGTGTGTGTGTGTGTATGTATGTATGTATGTGTGTGTATCTCACAAACGTGAGTACACCCAGGGATCAAGTCCTGGGGAATAAAGTGTGGGAACTCACCCAAGATCCACCCACACCTCCCCCCAAATAAATAATATCCACTCGTTTGCATATATAAACGTGTGCACACACACACTGACAGGTGAACACATATACACTCATACACACACTCACAGACACACATACTCAGACACACACACTCACAGAAACACAAATTATTCATATTTTTTAAAATTTAAAAAAGTCCATCCAGCCTCCCTACCTGGAGAGCTGGCGTGGACCTGTCCCTGGGGTCCAGTGGGGCTTCAGTGAGGCGGGCGCCTGTCTATCGGTCAGACGCTGAGAGGGAGCCGTGTTCTCTCTGATCTTCTTCCTCTCGCCGTACGGGCTGTCTACTGATGCCGGGAGCCGGAATATGATGTCATTATCCGGCTCCTGGCATCAGCAAATGGTTCGCTCTCTCGCCGCGTCTGACCATTAGGCCACCTCTTGGGCCCCCCATGACTGGGGGAACACCTGGGGGCAGCATTTTTTGCCGCCCCCCTGAGTGCCTGCAGGAGCAACGGGAACGGTGTTCCTGCTGTGAAAAAAGTGCAGGAACACTGTCCCCAGTCTCCGAAGGGAGGGGATCATGCTCTGCTTCAGTATGTCACAGTACATGTTGGCATTCATGGTTCCCTCAATGAACTGTAGCTCCCCAGGGCCAGCAGCACTCAGGCAGGCCCAGACCATGACACTCCCACCACTATGCTTGACTGTAGGCAAGACACACTTGTCTTTGAACTCCTCACCTGGTTGCTGCCTCACACGCTTGACACCATCTGAACCAAATAGGTTTATCTTGGTCTCATCGGACCACAGGACATGGTTCCAATAACCCATGTCCTTAGTCTACTTGTCTGTATGCTGGCTTTCTTTTGCATCCTCTTTAGAAGAGGCTTCTTCCTAGGACGACAGCGACACAGATCAATTTGATGCAGTGTGTGGTGTATGGTCTGCATAGACACATAGAATGTGACGGCATATAAGAACCATTTGGCCCATCTAGTCTGCCCAATATTTCAAAATACTTTTAATTAGTCCCTGGCCTTATCTTAAGTCTAGGATAGCCTTATGCCTATCCCATGAATGCTTAAACTCCCTCACTGTGTTAACCTCTACCAATTCAGCTGGAAGGCTATTCCATGTATCAACTACCCTCTCAGTAAAGTAACACTTCCTGATATTATTTTTAAACCTTTGCCCCTCTATTTTAAGACTATGTCCTCTTGTTGTGGTAGTTTTTCTTCTTATAAATAAAGTCTTCTCCTTTACTGTGTTAATTTCCTTTATGTATTTAAAGGGACACTATAGTCACCTGAACAACTTTAGCTTAATGAAGCAGTTTTGGTGTATAGAACATGCCCCTGCAGCCTCACTGCTCAATCATCTGCCATTTAGGAGTTAAATCCCTTTGTTTATGAACCCTAGTCACACCTCCCTGCATGTGACTTGCACAGCCTTCCACAAACACTTCCTGTAAAGAGAGCCCTATTTAGGCTTTCTTTATTGCAAGTTCTGTTTAATTAAGATTTTCTTATCCCCTGCTATGTTAATAGCTTGCTAGACCCTGCAAGAGCCTCCTGTATGTGAATAAAGTTCAATTTAGAGATTGAGATACAATTATTTAAGGTAAATTACATCTGTTTGAAAGTGAAACCAGTTTTTTTTTTCATGCAGGTTCTGTCAATCATAGCCAGGGGAGGTGTGGCTAGGGCTGCATAAACAGAAACAAAGTGATTTAACTCCTAAATGACAGTGAATTGAGCAGTGAAATTGCAGGGGAATGATCTATACACTAAAACTGCTTTATATAGCTAAAGTAATTTAGGTGACTATAGTGTTCCTTTAAATGTTTCTATCATATCCCCCTTGTCTCGTCTTTTCTCTAAGCTATACATGTTAAGATCCTTTAACCTTTCCTGGTAGGTTTTATCCTGCAATCCACGAACCAGCTTAGCAGCCCTTCTCTGAACTATTTCTAGAGTATTAATATCCTTCTGAAGATACGGTCTCCAGTACTGCGTACAATACTCCAAGTGAGGTCTCACAAGTGTTCTGTACAATGGCATGAGCACTTCTCTCTTTCTACTTCTAATACCTCTCCCTATAGAACCAAGCATTCTGCTAGCATTTCCAGCTGCTCCATTACATTGCCTACCTCATATGAAATAATTACTCTTAAATCCCTTTTCTCAGATGTTGAGGTTAGTAGGGTATCAAATATCCTATAGTCTGCCCTTGGGTTTTTACGTCCAAGGTGCATTATCTTGAACTTATCCACATTAAATGTCAGTTTGGCCATGCCATTTGGCTTATCCCTCCTGGAACATCAATCCTGTTACATATCTTAGTATCAGCAAAAAGACATACCTTACCATCAAGACCTTCTGCAATATCACTAATAAAAATATTAAAGAGTATGGGTCCAAGTACAGATCCCTGAGGTACCCCACTGGTAACTAGACCTTCGAATATACTCCATTGACAACAACCCTCTGTTGCCTGTCATTTAGCCACTGCCTAGCCCATTTCAACAATATTGGAATCCAAACTTAAAGATTGCAGTTTATTGATGAACCTTCTATAATGAGCACTGACAGGCTGACCCCACACCCTTTCAACCTCTGCAGCAATGCTGGAAGCACTCATACGTCTTTTTCCCAAAGGCAACCTCTGGATATGATGCTGAGCATGTGCACTCAACTTCTTTGTTCAACCATGGCGAGGCCTGTTCAGAGTGGAACCTGTCCTGTGAAACAGCTGCATGGTCTTGCCCACCGTGCTGCAGCTCAGTTTCAGGGTGTTGGCAATCTTCTTATACCCTAAGCCATCTTTATGTAGAGCAACAATTCTTTTTTTCAGATCCTTAGAGAGTTCTTTGCCATGAGGTGCCATGTTGAACTTCCAGTGACCAGTATAAAAAGAGTGTCACTAACGAGTCACATGACACCAGGGAGGGAAAATGGCTCAGTGGCGTATTTTGGATATGTGCTGCCCTAGGCAGGACGAAACTTGGGCACCCACCCCCCCATCTAAATTTGCCCCGCCCCTACCTGTTTAAGATGAACACACAGTTTGATTGACCGACACACACTGACACATCCATTCACTGACAGATTCACACTCTCAGATACACAGTGACATGCATTCACTGATGTACAGTGACATAGATTCACTGACTGACACACTGGCAGACACACATTTGCTGACAGACACACTTACCCACAGACATACACTGACAGACACACACATTCACTCACAGTGAAATAAACACTCACTCGGACACACAGTGACAGACATGCACACATTCACTCACAGACACCCGGATACTGACACACTCACACACTCACAAAGTATTATATATATTTTATTTACATTTTCATTTTAATCCACCCAGCCTCCCTACCTTTGGCAGAGCTGAAGTGGATTTTTCCCTGGGGTCCAGTGGGGCTGGCTGGGCTGGCTGCTGGGCTGGGAGGGCTTGCTGCTGGTGGCTGGGCAGGGAGGGCTTGCTGGGCATGCAGGCAGGCGCACAGTTATGGCAGCGAGGAAGCTGTATTCATCCTGCTCAGCTCCCTCGCCTGCCGCTCAGTGATGCCGAGAGCCGGAGTGACGTCATATCCCGGCTCTCACCATCAGCGCTGGGTGCACGGGAGCTGAGCAGGAAGAGCTCAGAGGACCATGCTCCCTCGCGTTCCCCTCCTAGCTGCACTGTGATCATTTAAAAAGCCTGGGGGGAAGGGCCTGAGGTGGCCAGCCAGCCAGTTGTTGGCCCCCCCATAAAAGAGGCTAACAAGGCATCTGGCTTTTTTTGCCCCTCCCCCTAAAAGTGCTGCCCAAAGCAAATGGGAAATACACCACTGGAGATACTGTGTGTGTGTGTGTGTATATATATATATATATATATATATATATATATATATATATATACACATATATAAATAAAATAGGGGCTGCATTCTGTGGGAAATAAAGAGCATTTTTGGGTTTTGTTTTTTACATTTATTTGATTATATTGTATTTAATTCCCCCCTCCCTACTTCTCACCTGTCCATGAAGGAGATGCATTTTCTGGTGGTCCGGTGGCATGTTGGAGGGAGACAACGCATCACATGACAGAGAGGACGTAGCACACGCCGTCTTAACCCTCCAGCAGCTCCTCTGATTCTCGCGGGTCTTACCTGTGTGCCGTGCGTAGCTTTGCCATGGTAACCCATGAGAACGCTTTGACGGCCATGGAGCTCGCAAAATTTAGAGAGGGAAGATCACTTGGAAGGTTAAGACAGCATGTGCTGGGCGCCATTTTCCGTGTACAGGTAGCTGGGTACCCGCAGTGCACATATAGATAGCGATGATCGCTATCTATATGTGCACATAGGGAATGAGGGGCCCGAGAAGGTACACCAAAGGAGGTCCACAGTTCAAAGCGTGAATTGAAAGACCAAACTAAATAAAAAGGAACAAAGTAAATTAATTGCCGGTTTGCCCTAACATCACGCCCTCCAACACCACTGTAATCAAGTGCCCGAGAATAAGTTGAGAAAAGCCCATCAAGTAATTAATGCCAGGGGATATTGACCGGCCACCACCTCACCCAAGAACTATGCCATGTATGCCAAAGTGGTTTTCACCTTGGTCTTGAAAGATTCATCTAGGGTGAGTATATATGACCTCCAGGTCAACACAAATTTTCTGAAAAGGAGTTCTTTGTTAGTTAGTGTGCACCGGAACAATTTTATTTCAACACCAGTCCTGACGACTTTCCTGACTCAAAGGATCAAGCAGGTTTACACCTCATTCGCTTGGAACTGTACACTCTTTGAAACAAAGGGACTATGAACCATCCACAGACCCACTGTGCTTTTTCAGCAGCATCTTTGTTGTCAGGAAAAAGACTGGTGATTACCAACTGGTCATCAACCTATGAGTACCTAGTTTCTATGTTGCCTATCATCACTTCAAGATAAAAGGCATCTTCACAGCATGCTTTCAAAAAAGAATACCTTCTGTAATTGGACAATCTGCTATTAGATTTTTTTTTCTCTCATCACTGGAAAGACGCAAGCCATTTAGTTAAACCCTAGATTTTACGCCTTCCTAGATCTTTTCACTTCCAGAGTGCACCATCACACTGACCTGTTCTTCAGTTGGCTACCATATCCCCTCAGCTCAGCAGCGGATGCATTTCTTCAACAATGTCCTCACCTTATGCGTTTCATTTGCTATGATTCCAAGAATGCTTAATTTAT